TGTGAAGTCAGACGCAACTTGCACCACGTTTAACAACAACATCCCGAATTAACCAACCAAAGACCATGCACCAACCTGCTTGAGCGGTTGCCTGTACTGTAACAAGCCTGGCTGCTCAGGCTACACTGGCCAGTGCAAAACGAGCTTCCTGCACCTCAAGGACCTCTCAACTTTTCAGTTGAACAAACCAGTTTGGTCAGTTTCGGGCATGATGTAGATCTCCGAGCTCCCCCCCCCCCGCAGCCCCGAAAACTTTGGCCTCGTCGACTGTGGGCCTATCAGGATGCCTACGCAGCGTCCGCGCGCGCCGAGAAGAGACCAGGCTAGTTTATGGCTGGGATTGGTGGACTGTGCCTCAGTGCCCTAACCTGTCTACACCCCCAGTTCTCAGAATCCATGGCGCTCTGCGAGACGGTTTGAACAACATCCCGTCGAATTGGCTTTCAAGTTGTTTTTGGTTCAGTTCATCTTTCGTGCACTTATCCCCTGAATACTAGGTGTCACAGTACAGTGATGCTCGCACCATGGCCATGTCCAACCTACTCGCTGCAGACGCTGAGGCAGCTGTCTCGCAGATATTATAGCCCCTATACTATACATGAAGCCCAGCGCTTTTCCAGCGCTTTCTTTTTGGAGGTCCAATTCAAGGATTGGGGATATAGATGCCCTTTTACTAGTAGGGAAACGATTGATCGGTCCAATAGTAGCGTAGCGTTTAGGTAATGCAGGGGCTTGTTAGAGTCGCAGCCGCAAGGGAAATATTCCTATATTGTACTCCTTAAGCTCATCCACTGCAACATAAGATAACTCCTCGTACAGAAGCCCACAACATCCGAACACGCAAATGAGAAACCCCCCCGCAATGTTTGGCTTTACACTCATCACTTCCCGAGCGCCACTTCTCAACCAAAGGAAAGCCCACGATGTCTTGGAGAAGACTTGGTCAGACGTGGTCTTCCAGGTTCCTTAAGGTTGAGGCTTTCTTTGGAGGCTCAGCGCAGGGCTTTAGGGTTTTAGAGTTTGAGGGTTAAGTCTCTTGGGGAATGAGTCTGTGGGCGAAGCGTTCCTACCCCAGCCATCGGGACAATGGTGCAAGCGATTGAACCTCAACATTGTAACATGGGGACAGTTGCCGCTTCTCGGGTTTCAGCTGCTAGGCGTACAGAAGTCAAAGGCAAAGGAGGGCTTCGAGGGTAGGACTGCTGTAGCCAAGGGTTTCCTTGGGGTCTGGACCTGGGCTTGGAACTTGTGAGGCTTGGCGTTAAGCAATGGTTCGCGGAGACGTTCACATCTCTAGCAGGGGCCGTCGTCCAGCTGTTGCAGCGAAACTTGTTGTCATTGTCATGGATCCCACGCTCGATGATTGTTCTGCACGCCGCTCTAGGGCTCTATTCGTACTCTATTCGTACAGCCCAAGCCCTGACACCATACCAACCCAGGCTCCGCATCCTCAACCTCAAGTTCTTGAGGTTCCTAGGTGCCCCATGCTTCCATATGCTTCCATATGCTTGTTCAGCAAAGCCCCAGAGCCAGAGTGAGGTTGGGGAAATGGCGTCAAAGGTTGCTGACGGAGGCTTGCTTGATCAGCTGGCGCTCGCAGACGTGAAGGCTCGTAAGGATGAGCTGTCAAAGCATTCCAAGTTAATCAACAGCGAACTGCGAACAAATTCGAGTCTTTGCTTTGCAGCGTATAGGTCCGAAAAGAATCAGACCTTCCTTGAAAGCCTTGCCCTGAAGCTCACAAGCTTAAATCCAGTTCCGTGAGCGAACCTGATCTCTAGCCTTTCATTCAATGTGCATCCACGCGGGTCGCCCGTGTGGTGGGTGGGGGTGGGAGTGGGAGTGGGGGTGGGAGTGGGGTGGGAGTGGGGGGGGAGTGGGGGTGGGAGTGGGGGTGGGAGTGGGGGTGGGAGTGGGGGGTGGGAGTGGGGTGGAGTGGGGGTGGGTGGGCGTGGGAGTGGGGTGGGTGGGGCGTGGGGGGTGGGAGTGGGGGTGGGTGGTGGGGGGTGGGGGTGGGAGTGGGGGGTGGGGGGTGGGAGTGGGGGTGGGGGGGAGTGGGGTTGGGAGTGGGGGGTGGGAGTGGGGGCCAATTTCAACCATACAATTGACATCGTTGATATATGTTGAAATGAAAAACACGACGATGTCCTGCAGATCTATGCATCCGGCCCGGGCTTGCGATGTGATGTCATCAGGGCTTGGGTTACAATGTTGAACAGAAGAGCGTACAGCCAGTGATATCGACATGTTTATTGGCGACGACTGACCCCCCCCCCAATTCCCACCTTCAACCAAAGCACATTCCTCAAAAAAAACATACAAAAGCGTAGCAAGACTACTATACAGACAAACTGCCAAATTGTCCTTCTTGGTTTTAAGGATAAGAAGGCCCAGGTTAGCACGGCCACTCAAAGAACCTGAATCCTTTTTTCGGCCTCACCCACAAGTAGTTCTGAATCCCCGCAGGAAAGTTGACAATGACGAGCGCGCAAGTCCTTGCGCACAAGAATTGGAAACCCCAGGTATGAAGACAACTGAATGCCGGAAAAAAGCCACTCCATACTACATACGATTAGTGAAAATAAGCCAGCCTAGGGATTGATTAGAGGGTAACGTGGAAAAGCACCAAAGCACCGTGTCAAGTATATGATCCTTAAGCGCTTTTGGAAGAATGGGGGAATGGCATGTTCTTCATTCCCAAATGGCAAGGAACAAAGAGACATGTGCTTTGCCTGCATTCTTTCTCTATGCTTTTTCTCCGTGTGGCCTAAATTTCTTTCTTTCTGGGGAAGAATGGATGAGCAGAAAAGAAGCAGGATTTACGAAATCAACAAGGGCGAGATGGAAGACGACCCCTTGTCCACTTCTGTGGTGGCATGGACCTTCGCAAAACGCAGTGGAAGGCTTTTTGGGTTGTTCCCGAAAGCATGGCGGCGGGTTTTTCAGCGGAGGTGGGGACGTGACGGATGGTGTGATGGATTTGATGGATTTCGTGGCGTGATGGATTTGGTGGGTTTTCCTCTTAAAATTAATATGTTTTAGAACACGGGGCAGGGTTGGGGGGAGCCGCCGCACTTCGTCTTAAAAAGTGCAAAAACGCGAGCCCTCTGCGTGTTTTGGCTTTGTCGACATGAAAACGATGACCCTCTGCGTGGGTGCGGCGTGTCGTGAGCGCACGAACGACAACCCTCTGCGTGTTTTCGCGTTGTCGAAACGTTGTCGAAACGCAAAAACGATGACCCTCTGCGTGTGCACGGGGTGTCATGATCGCACGAGCGACAACCCTCAGCGTGTTTTCGCGTTGTCGAAACGTTGTCGAAACGCAAGAACTCTGACCCTCTGCGTGTGCGCGGGGTGTCATGATCGCACGAACGACAGCCCTCTGCGTGTTTTGGGCTAGTCGAAAATTGTTTTCGTGAGTTTTTTCGTTGTCGTCGTTAACGCATGGATGGGTGTCGTCGTGGATGGATGTCGTCATGGATGTCGTGTTGGATGTCGTGATGGAAAGTTTCTGAAAATAGTGAGGTCTGCATCACGGCTCTAAACTGTTTTCGGGACAGTTTTCTAGTTACTGGGAAAGAAAGACCACAACTCACATCATTCTTGGCTACAGGTCCGTGCCGCATGACCTATGCCCGACGAACGCCAAACCTCGCCTCTCCATGTACGCCCGCATCATGGTCAGAGAGTATGTGATCATCAAGATAAAACGAAAGTATACGAGAAGGGCGAACTCCTTCTTAACGTTCTTGGAAGAAATTTTGAAATACTGTAAGTACTTGCACGAAGGCCTCCCAGGACATCAATGTCAGCCAGCAGGAGGTCGACGAGTTGCCCACAGACAAATTTGAACTCGACGGCAGTTCTCGAGTGTCCAGAAAGGGTTTCGGAAAGGAAGGTGTTAAGGCTGATGCTTTTTGATCTGGGCGACAGTATTTTCATCGATTTTCATCGACAGCTTCCAGAACAATGAAGATTTGAGGACCGTGGGTTTCGGAGTTCGGATCGTACCGTGGAGAAATTTGCATGGGAGTTCGAAGCCTAAGGTTCTGCGCCAGCAATGGGTCGAGCGCTATGCAACACGTGCAGAAGCACTTGCGCGAGGCCTGAGCATACTTGGACAGGTCAGCGAACTCAGTGTAAATATTACCCTCAAAGCTCGATTATGTCCAGCAACCATGGCCACAAAGTTGGCAAGAAGGAGTAGCAGTTGCAACACTCATTCCCGATGTTAGTACGGTTTCTTGAGAGCAACACATAAATAAAATACTTTCACAGCAGCATTCACGTGTGCAAGCTTCCTGCTTGTTTTGGGCGTTTCCCAACAAGACAGTGCTGCATCTCTCCAGAACCCAAAGAACGTTCGTTCCACCCAGCCCAACCACGAATCTTTCACAACACAAGCAAAAGACAAGGTCACGGAGCAGGGCTTCTTTGGGCAGACTCAGAGACAGATGGATGCTCTTTTTGCAGAGCTCGCCATGTATCTCTCCTTACACTTACTGGTGGGCATCGCCTTCGCTGGGGCTGAAGGCATAGGGGTTTAGAGAGGCTCAGGTGTTGGCCATATGTTTAAAGGCTTGAGGTCCGCGAGCATGTCGCATATGTTGCCTGTCAATGTCTGACCCTTAATGCTCAGGATGTTGAACGTTTGCTGTAACTTCGGGTCGAAATCGCAAAGCCCTGCTCGAGATTGACTACACAACCAGCCTTAGGTTGTTGGAGCCCGGTGGATCAATGTCTAGCCTGTAGCAACGTGCACAGAAGTTGCAGGGTGAGTTGCAGTCCAATTCTCCAAATGCTGAGCCCTTGCAAGACCTTGTAGTAAGCTCTCGCCAGTGACGCAGTTCAGCAGCAAAAGAGTGGGGGGAGAGGGGTTGCGCCATGCCCTTAAGCTAAAAGCCCCAAACCCTAAAGCAATAACGAAAGCAATAACGAGAAAACATGGCAAAATAAAATCTGACATACGAGTAACAAGTCACGAACGCATTCAGAATGAGGTTACAGTATCGCTTTGAAGATGCTGGCCTCGGAGACGCTCCATATGCGGAGGTGCTTTGGGCCGATCTCGGGCAATACTCTAACTTGGTCTTTCCAAGGGCTTCCAAGAGTATCAATCACTGGAAGGGCTTTTTTCACATTATGGATGACGTGTGGGAGTATTGAAGGGAAGCCTATACCATGCCTAAACCGTGCTAAATCTACTGCGATTTTATGGCCAGGTCGGGGTGGCTGCAAAACACGCGCAAGACAAAAGTTTGAAGCGTAGCTGGGTCGGAGGCCATGCGGGAGTTGAATGGCCAAGGCGCGCTACGGAAGTGCTGACGTACCAACAACCGCTACATTGTAACAAACCGTGGAGCAACCCTGGCTACCCTGCTACTACTCCAAGCGCGAAGCATCACGAAGCAGAACAAAACGGCATAACATAGCGGCGTCTTCACATATCTTCACTGCCCATGTACTGTGGCAGGACATTGAGAAGTCGGGAAGCATTGTCCACTGAAAGCCAAGCTGAAAGCCACAGCTTTGGTGTTGAGCTGACAGGAGCATCAAGTTGAGACTCTTTGGATCCCATGAGTAGCATGTGCTCAGCAGGTGGCAATCCCTGTAGATAAAAGAATCCACACCAGGGCTCAATTGCATCTGTAGGTCATAGTAATACCCTCAGGCCAAAAGCAACTACTCCCTAACGTCCCCAAAGCCTGTCCTGTGAAGCTTTTAGTAGGCGCCCTTTCTCAGAGCCCCAAGCATCGCCTTCCTCCTCTAAAAACTCTACATCCGAGGTTGCCGAAGCGTCGGCTTCGCGCCTTGCAAAAGCGGCTGCCGATGCCCAGTCGGGCGCCAACCACCTGGTGGGCTGCTCTTGTTTCGATATGTTTCGATCATGTCGGGTTCCATGTTTGCGCTTTTTTGTGCGAGCGTGCCGATGAGTACTCGAAGAATTTGCCGTCTAGCCAGCAGTTATGCTTGAGGATGTTTGAGGTGGGAACCGTTTCTGCGTAGGGCTACATCAGATTTCAGAAGCGTGCAAATGCGTGCACGTCGAATTCGCACAGCCTGAAGATGCTATAATATGTTCAATACTTGGGGCTGGGGGTGCCCTGGGATTCAGAACCCTGTCTCCCAACCGGACAGCAACACTTGGCACAGGCCGGGGACATGGTTGCGCACTGGCAACAGCATCTGTGCAGTGGAGATCTTGAAGCACGAGTGGCTCGCCTTCGTGGTCTGCCTTCCATCTCAAGTGGCAAGTCGTGAGCAAGTCACTGCTCCTTCTGTGCCGTTGATGGCTTCAGCACTCGACTTTTCAAGTCTTCCCTCAAGCCTAGATTCATTCTCTTTCGGCCGTAGCAAGGGCCTTTTCTCCCACTGGGTTTTTGCCCTTGTTTGTACAGGTGGCCAATCTTATCATTAACGCAAGCTCATTTCGCACATGGCAGACGAAAATCCCTGCCTATATGCTGTACGAGGTGGAGTGCGGAGCAACGCAGTCATGCCGACCCCGGGGAGAAGAAATCTTTGCCACAGGCGCCGGACCTCACTGCGTTTCGGGATTTTCAA